GTTTCAGCTTCAGTGTCCAGATTCAGCAATTCAATTCAGTCCAAATTATGTCCAAATTGTGTAATCCAATTGTTCCAAATGATGTCCATGCAAAAGAGGACGATGGTATTGTCCATGTCTCAGCAGCTCACAGCCTGACTGGAATCAGGGGCTGTGCAGATTGTCCAAGTGTGCTGGTCCAGACGCATGGTTTCTCTTGAGGTTTCTCAGTTTTGGCTTTAAAAAAAAAAACACATTTTTGTGTAAAAAAAAAGTAGTCTTCTGTTCTCTAGATGTTACAGACAATTCCCGCATTCTCCACCACCTGAAGAAGATGACATGTCTGGAATCGCGTCTTAAATTCAGACAGAAGACATGTTTTATTGTCGATGGTAGAGACAGCACGAACAACAAAATGCAAGTGTATTATACAGAGCGGAGGCATGGAGACCTCCAATCAGCAGCTTCCACGTTGTGCTTGTAGCTTGGCCTTCAGATAGACAAAACATGAAGTGGAAAAGTACAGGCTTCTGCACATTGATAGAATGATGAGTTTAACTTTAACAAAAGTTGTTTAAAAGTGTTATGAAATCTCACATTCCCCCCTCTGGTCACACATTCACCTGTGACCATCAGGATCGATAAACAGCAACATAACATCATAACTCAATACTTAAACTCGGTACTTCACTCGGTACTTCAAAAAACTCAGAAAACTCATAAAACATTTTCAGATCTTTCATAAAACTTGTCAACAATCTTCAGTAAAATACCAAACTTCATCAGTCAATGGTTCTCAGATATTGCTTTGAAAACAGTCTCTCCCACTTCTCCGTGTTGATTTCTTCAGGCTGCATTTGTGTCGAGCCATGAATTCTTCTGTGACGTGTCTTTCAATCGCACGTTTCAGCTTTAGTGTCCAGATTCAGTAATTCAATTCAGTCCAAATTATGTCCAAATTCAGAAATCCAGATTGTTCCAAATGATGTCCAAATTTTGTAATCCAATTGTTCCAAATGATGTCCATGCAAAAGAGGACGCTGGTGTTGTCCATGTCTCAGCAGCTCACAGCAGGCCTGAGTGGAATCAGGGGCTGTGCAGATTGTCCATGGGCTGATCCAGATGCATTCTCTTGAGGTTTCTCAGTTTTGGCTTGAAAAAAAAAAACACATTTTTGTGTAAAAAAAAAAGTCTTCTGTTCTCTAGATGTTACAGACAATGCCCGCATTTTCCACCACCTGAAGAAGATGACAAAGTCTGGGATCGCGTCTTTAATTCTGACAGAAGACATGTTTTATTGTCGATGGTAGAGACAGCACGAACAACAGATACAACAGAATGCAAGTGTATTATACAGAGCGGAGGCATGGAGACCTCCAATCAGCAGCTGCCACAGTGCCATGTAGCTTGGCCTTCAGATAGACAAAACAAGGGAAAAGTACAGGCTTCTGCACATTGATAGAATGATGAGTTTAACTTTAACAAAAGTTGCTTAAAAGTGTTATGAAATCTCACAATCATTATGGTAGAACTGTGACAAATGTAAACAATAAAAAAACACACCTTGTCGTGTTAGGAAAAATGTTCAGGATGTAAAAAGATAAAGTATTGTATGAAATCAGATTGACAGATTTTGGTTTTGAACGAGTTCAACAGTTTTGTATGTGATGACCAAAGCCATGAAATGAGCTTTAGTTTTACAGGGAGAAACTATTCAGTCGTGATATGTTTTATTTTGACTAACAGGACAGAAGCAAATGACAATATTTATTTTTACCAACCGTAATCGACAGGGTCAAGCCAAATTATTGTAGGGGACAGTAATCTGAACTTTAAAAAGTTTTTACAGACTTGAAATTTCCAGTAACTTGAATTTAAACACTTAGTTGGCAGAACTTGGAAAACTTAACTGACACAACTTAATAAGTGTAGTTCTTCAAAACTTGAAGAATTAAGTTAATGCCTTCAACTCAAAAATCCTTCGCAGCTGGTTGCTTTGAAATTTTGAGTTGAACTAACTTTTTCTTTTTTACAGTGTGCATGGACCAGAAATCCAATTAAAATAATGGACAATTGCTCCTGCAGCGACTACAGTATATGGCAATGCATGAAAAGTTAGATTTTCGTCACCCTAAACGGCAGGAAATCACGCTCTTTTTCATGCTAATGTCCCTACTTTGCATATTAATGCAGCGAAACACCAGTGATGGGCAGTAGCGTCGCTACTAGCTTAACTACATTTTTCAGTAGCTTGACAGTAGCGTCACTATTTACAAAACCTAGTAACTTTTCTGTAGCTAAGCTATATTATTGCTCAAGTAGCGCGGTAGCGTCCGCCAAAGCTATTTTCTCACGGACATCTCTGATGTTCATATATTACAGCATTTTCCCGCAGCATAAAACAAACATATAGAAAGACAGAATGCTGATGCGCATGCGCAGGGCTTGGTAACACACACACACACAAACGTACGCGCACACACACACACACACATGCGCGCGCGCTACTGGGGGAAGCAAAAGCATGGCAGAGCGCCCAGGAGCCGCCGCGGTGGAGGAGGACCATGATAAGGACTCTCAAAGTGTTGTACCGTGGCCATACCTCCAAAAGTACGTCACTCTAGTCGAGATGAGCGAAAAGAAGTATGTTTTCAGATGCCTACTCTTTGTTGTTTTTGGTGTTTTGGGCTATTGTTCAATAAATATCTACAAAATGTTAACCTTTATCTGACTGACAGTTTATCTCAAATAATAAGATAAGCTTTATTAATCTCACACAGGAGAAATGTACATGTCACATTTGGCATGGATAAAACACTCAAGAATTGTGCAAAAAATAAGAAATGAGCAAACATGTTAATGCAGGAAAATATAAAATTGCATGAACTGCAGTTTGTTTAATTGAAAATAGCTTCTATATAGCAAGCTACTTTTAATTATATTTATGTATTTATTATAAATGTTACAGATGCCAGAGAAAAGGCGTCTGCTTTTTTTCTGAGTGGGAGGAGACACCAGCGGAGCTGTTTGAGTCAAATAACGTTCAGCGTTATATTACCAATAGTTTCTCTTTCCATAACGATATTCTCTCTTTTTGGAAAGATCACCAAACGTGATGCAAAAGTTTACGTTATACACTGAAAAAAATCGTGATTAACATTTACTTAAAAAAATCCTCGTAAGTATTTGCACGAAGATATAATTAAAGATTACTACTATAAATCAAGTAAAACTTTTTATTTCATCAAGTATAATCTGAATGTTATTTGTAAGTAAACCTTACTTAACAAATGTGATTTTTTTTACTTGATCACATAAAATAATCAAGTAAGGTTTATGTGATTTTTTTTTAGGTTATTTATGTGTGAAATAGATATACTGAGTAACCATTATGTGTACAGATCATTTACAATAATGGATAACTTGAATAAATGTTATTTATATTTTATCAGTATATTTCATATCATTGCAATAATACTTATTAAGTACTATATGTGTGTAACAATTACATTATTATTGAATTAATAAGAAAAAACAATATGCAAATATCAACATTTAACAGCCTGTTTTATTGACAAACTTTTAAGTTCACACATCAACAATGAAAACTAAAAGATGAACTAAAGCTGACCTTAAAAGCAGAACACATGACAACAGAAAACTTAATTATCACAAAAAGGATGCAATGGGAATGGTATAGAGATAGGCCATTGATTTTCTATAATTAAATGTCATTAGCTTAGATGAGATGATGCACCTGCCTGGTCTTTGAGCCTCTGTTCAGCTAAAGACCAGGATGTTGTAGCATTAGCCTCTCGCAGTAAATCTCAATGGCTCCAGACCGAGGTAATTTTAGAAGCGGCCGAGCTCTTTCACATTTTCCCTAATTAAAACACTGTTACATGAGGAGTTACTAGATTCAAGAATAGTCAATTAATTTAACATGTCCATGTTTTAATGACTAATTTTCATATTTCTAGTCTAAGCTAGAGTCTAAGCTAAAGTAACAACATCAAATTATATAAAATCTGTGGCCTTTTCTCTTATGCTGAACAAAATTGCTTCTCTTATGTTTTGGACAGTAGCTTGACTTTCAGTGTTTGTATTTTCGGGGATGGCTTAAATGCATCTAAATGTAAGAAAATCTTCTGAAATACTTCGAAGGTGTATCGTAGTGTTGTAGGATAAGCAAGATTGAGGGAATATATTAGACCCATTAGCAGTGCACATGCCTTTGCAGTATTTCCACATCCAGTCACAATCTCCTTGCTGTCGAGAACAATAGAGACATCCACAGGTTCTTCATCAGAGGAAGAACAAACGACCAGGATCTTCATTTTGTGCCGGCCAACATCCTCTAAGTGCGCCTGGGTAAATTGTAAAGAGGAAGAATTACTTTGATAAATACACTCTATAGCTTACATAGCTATAGCTATAGCTCACTTCTATAGCCATAAATCTTTTTATTTATCTAATTTATGCCCTGACAAAGACCGCTGTTGGTCGAAACGCGTAGGCAGTCCAATTCATTAAATGACTTTTAATTTTTTCACCAAAACAGAGTGCCTCAGACTACCTTTGTTCTCTTCAAACATTATACTTGATTGATCAATAATCACAAGACAGGTCATAATCATAGACACAGCCATAAGGTGATTCCAAAACACGGACGTGTGTTTTTGTCATGGGTCAACATGCTGTGTTACATTACATTGGAGTTCATCATCGTGGCACAATATAAAAAAACAATCAAAACAAGTTTATAAAAGAAAGAGCAGTGAGTTCCCAAACTCTGACAGTGAGAGCTTTAAATTACCACTGTATTTTGTTTGGTGTATTTGAAGTGTTGACACTCACTCTTACAAAACAGGTTAAATATGTGAGGAATAGGACGACCCTGAGTTTTTGAGAGAATGGGGGAGAAAAATATCAAGAATGGTACCTGGCAATCTAGAAAGAGTTCTTCCTCATTTTCACCGAGGTAGAGCATTAAACCACGAATCACATTGTCACGTCTCATCTCAATTGTTTGGTTCTGTAAATAGCACCAAAACAGGGATTTATCAATGGGAAAGAACAAATTATGTATTGTACTCAGCATAAGTTATGACTAAACATACCTGTATCTGTTTGTTCAAAAACAGGTTTCAGTTTTGCCCCGATAGCACCACCCTTCTTCGCAAACACAGAAAGTAAATTTGGAGTGTATTTGTCCAGATTGAACATGAAGGTCTGCTCAAGAGGAATGGTGGTGATTCTCCAACTTTGCATTGCCATCTCTTTTGAGATGAGATGGCAATGCAAACTTTGCATTGCCATCTCATCTAAAAAGCCTACTGTCTCTAATCTTTCTCCTTCTTTGAGTCTTGATTATTGGTCCCCTGCAAGACAAAAATATGGATTCAATGTTGTATACAGTTAGTAAACTATAAATCAAATGTATAGTTACATTTTTACCTGATTGAAGCTACCAAAGTAGAAGTGGTGGGTATAAGATCTGGTGTCAATATCAGCACTTCTCTCCTGAATCTGAAAGAAAATTGTAAAATATACTTTAACATTACAGTATAATATATAAATAATGTAATATTTATGAATTGTCAAATATACTGTAACATTACATTACTTGTGATTAATTTCACAATGTTCACATAATTATTATTTAATTGTCTAAATTCACAAATAATTCATACAATTTTAGTTGCACGGGGGGAACATAAATGCTTTGGGATATATTTTCAGTCTCCAAACGAAAAAAACGGAAAGACGTATCTACTTGTTAAGCAATAATAACTAAGTATCAGCCATGTTTAGTGGAGTGCATAGCGATATAAGAAAGACAGTCATGAAAGTAATGAAAACTGGCCTCAGAAGAAGCTACGCTACAACATTAACTACGCTATGAATCAAATCACGCGCAGCGTCGTTTGTACATACCGAAGCACGCAGTCCTCTGTACACAGCCCAGATTTACGTTTGAGAAACGAGACCAAACTCTTTGCTAAATAAAGCACAGGCATGCCTGTGCTTGTTGTTGTTTGAGGAGGACACGTGACAAAGCAAAAGCATGATGGGAACTGTAGTATTTGACGCGATTGTTTCAACACAAGTTTCCGAGCTGTATTATACTTATTTGCTTACATTGCGTAGCCTTGTGTTACTTCCAAGGAAAATGAGAAAATAAATTATTTAGTTCTTTTCAAATGGTTAACTTGTTTAACTAAGCTAGCAAACACCATGTGCCTTATTTCCCGCGGATGGAAATTAGTCCGATTAACGCTAAACTAATATTCAATTGAGTTTTAAACCAGCGTTAGATAACATAGCATAGGCTATGCCTTGTTTCATGTGACGAAAAGTTGAATATCTCTCAGTTCCATTTTGACGCAGGAGAAAAAATACCTAGCATCTAAAAATATAATGTTAGCCGACGCTGATGTGACGCAATGACGACATGTGTACAATGCAACACAACCCAAAGACAATAATGAATATACTGTCACATGAAAAACAATTGAAAAGTTACTTACATTAAACTTCACGTTCCACTTCGTGTTCGTTCGAGTCTGCTGGGAGCATGGATCAATGACAGATTGTCATTGTGTGCGGGGCAGAAACTCGCCAATGTAACCCTGCTCACAAGTGCCACCTGGTGGTTGTTTTGGTCATTGCAACGTCACTGGGAGGGGGGAAAATAAAAGACGCGTGAATCACACGAGATTCACGTGTGATTCACGCGTGAAAGGCGACAAAACGGAATGGGACCTACTGTAACACTAGGGGCGCACTTCTCTGCTTGGCTTTCCTATACTTTCCTACAACGGCAAAAGGCTCATGGGAGATCCTCTCAAATTGATAAAACATAAACTTGCTCAAAAAAAATAAATAGTAGGCCTGTATCTCGATACAACAGTAAAGTATCGGAAAGTGGCAGTTCAAGCGCCGTGGGCGTGCCCGTGTGACCAAGACACCCCTGATTTAGGCCAATAGGAATCTGCAAAGTTAACATGAGCGGGTCTGACCAGTGCTTGGCTTCAAAAAGTTTCCTTCTCTTCACATTTTTAAACGTAACTGACACTTGTGAGTCGCAATCTGCCGCTTTGGGCTGAGAGCTGATTGGCTGATCGAGGGTGGTCCTCTCTTTTTCACTTTTCTGTCTGAAAAAGATGATTTAAAGATGTGAAAAAGATCAGAAATACATGTGGAAACTGTATCGAAACCAAATTGTTTAAAGAGTGAGGAACTACAGTTAGACGGATTGTACTTCCTCATTATCTTGGTGCAGTCTGAGAGTTACATCCCCCAGCTTTAATCTATCCCACTCTTCCTGCTGCTCAGTGTCTAAAGTGAAAGAGACGTGAGTGACAGGATGTAAACAATCACAGCCCTGCGATGATCCATGTCAAATAGCCCATGCATGCAGTCATTCTCCTACTTGCTTCAACCCTGTCATTATCCTGGCTTGGGACCGATACAAACACACCCCTTTATGGATGAAACACATTAAACCTCTTTCTCTGTCATGTCGAGTACATTTAAACCCCACTGTTACAACACAGTCTCCTGCCTCCTCACATGTTTCACTGGGACCTCTCTTCTCACTCCTCTCCTTCGCCCCAAGCTGCTTCTGATTGTGTTACCGTTGCGTTAATAGCACGACTCCCTGGGGGGGGCGCTGTCTCTGGCCCCCCTCGGCTATTCGGATGATTGCTCCTCCTTTTGCACAGAATTGGGTCACATTATGTGGGCTGTTGCTGCCGCTTCTACTACCTGTGTATTCGGGACAGTCCCTCATTGCTTCTGTCTGAACGCGGCAGGAAAAAACGCACGGCTTTTTTGTTCCTTAACTTTAAATAAAAAGTGTTGTGAGTGAGCCCCCCGCTGCTGTTTGACAGGGAACATGAAAGTTTAACATGGAGCTCAATAGCGCTCCCCAGACGCTTCCTCCTCCTCGCGCTTGCAATGTTTAAAGCAACGTTTTTTGCGAGGACACTTTGACATAATGCGCCGAGATTTATTCGCTCACATCTACAAAACAAAGTCCCAATTGAGTGCGTGTATCAAAACAGAGGCTTTGAATGGGTGGTAAAGTGTGAAGAATGGAATCGTAAGAAATGCTGTTATATAAGTCCACACAACCACTGTATACAAACACAGCCATTAATATTAACTTGTTTATTCTCACAAACAAGATAAGATAAGATATACTTTATTAATCTCACACAGGAGAAATTTACAACAAGCCAACCCTGATTCCTAAAGTCTGGGTTTCCATTTCCTCTAATTGGCAACTTAATATTTCCATCTTAGTCCTTTAAAAGTGTATTCACAAAACCAGGGAGACAGTGAATGTAGCTATGCCAGTAAATCTGATTTAAAGTCCTTGACATACAATCCAAATATGTTGTCACCCATAATAATAATACTAATAATGATAATCTTTTGAACTGATGTATGTTGACAGAGGCAGGCCCCACATCAACACTTAGTTCTTCTGCCTTCTCTTTTTGAGCCCCATGTGGTGTAGTCTATATGGTCTTGTCAGCGTCTCGTCCGGGTCGCCGGTGCTCGGGTTGTGTTCCGTTGCGAGGGACACAGGGTGAGCCGGGCGGGACACTGAGGGAGGGTGGGGGAGAGAGGGGTGTCCCACTGCCGCTCATCTAAGGAGACAGAGAAGAGGTGATTTCAAAACAATATCCTAGACTTCATTCAATTTAAAGAAGTATGGAGAAGAGAGTGATGAGAGAAGTATGGAGTGGAGAGAGAGTATCAGGTCAGAGAGGGTTTTGGGTTTGTGTCTTATGTGTCATAACTATGGTCTATTTATTTTCTCATAAAGATGTCAAGACGTTGCAAAAATGATTCTAAAAACATATGCATGATGTTGCCCTGAGTGAGGACCTTAAAGACACAAGCATCAAATGGCTGCTTTGAGACAGATTCACAAAATGTAGATGACACCCAAACGCTCAATAAATGAAATGAATTTTTTAGTACTTAGCAACTTTGATACTTCATTGTTTTATATTTACATTTGTTGATATTTTGATGCTTTATATATTTGCTCATAGGTTATTTTGTAATTGACCTAACACAGTATTAGAATGTTTTAATGCTTGTTTTTAATGCCCTGTGTGGATTTTAATGTTTACGATATATGCCTGATGTGATACGGGTTGAGTCATTTTTGTACAAATAAAAGTTGGTTGATTGATTGATATTTTGCAATGAGGCTTAGAACATGTGTCTATGGTCGATCTTAGGTAAATATAATGCACCCAATAATACCTTAGGTGTGGGAAAAAAACATTTTTGTAAGAAATCGCTCGGAAATACTGTGTGCCGTATAGAATTCCCTGCACCTTGGTCTCCTGTGTTTCCCATGTGCTGCTGCCACACAGGGCTAAGGATGTGTGACGTGTTAGCTTCTGGTTACACGCTTCAGACCAAAATGTGTTGTCACTGTGTGTGTGTGTGTGTGATGATATGATTTTGGCAGTCTGCCTCAGGACAGCTGTGGCTACTGTTGTACTTAACCACATACGGCATCTGATGTGAATGAATGAGGCGCAGTGTTATAAAGCGACTTTGAGGCTGTGGAAAGTGCTACAGATGTTGAAAGATCACAAAAAAATGGAATTACGCTGTGTGCTTGTTTCGTGTCAATGCCGGGTCCTGCCCTGAAAAGTTAATTAAGATTCTGTCTTGTAATATAAATAACCCCTTTGTTATATAACCGGGCTGATTACTATGAATTCAAAGGGCAAATAAAGTACATTTAGTCAAACCCGGTGAGCTTGTGCCCTTGTGGTTAGAGGGTAAAAGCCTAACAACAGTCCCAATGCCAACCTGAGATTTTGGAATTTTATCATTATTCATGAGATGTCCCTAAAATTCCTCAAGTCTCACAAATAATAACAATAAAAAAGAGATAAATGAGCAATATTTCTGGGTATGTTTATAGCTGGCTTGCAGAGAAATGTGGGCCTCTTATCAAGGTGAAAGCTATTTAATGTAGTCCCTAATTTTAGCCTCTCCTTTCACATTAGCAGTCCCATCATCCTTCACTCTCTAAGCAGCGGAGCGTGGGTGGTCCCGTGCAATCAGGAGGTTTGGACACAAGACAAACGAGCGTCTGTCGAGGTAACACTAACATAAATATCATGTCAAACAGCCAATAGCTAAAGTCTATAGTGAATTAAAGCTTTTCGAGGGTGTACTTAACAGGAAAATTACCATCTTAATGGAACCATGCAGGTGGAGAATTATATCTTTTCTACAAGCACCGTGATCACACTTTGGAACAATGCCATCTTTTTGCTTTTATTACAGCTAGCTTCTCTCTGTAGTAGATATATGTGACGGCGCTATTGAGCAAGTGGTGAAAAGGTGGTACTGCACCCTAAAACTCCCCAGAAAGGTGACGGCGCTCTTGAGCAAGTGGTGAAAGATGTTACTGCACGGTATTTTTCAAAGAGTTTTGAATATGTAATGAGTTAGCTTCTGTTGACCCTGTGTGTGTGTGATAAAGTAAATGCTTCACAGTAGTCTAAAGTGATTTATGATCACGGTTTATCATAGCACATGTTTATTCTAAAACAAACAGTTAGTAATGACAGGTCAATAAACTAATTAATCTACAGGTCCTCCCTGTTAACGACACTTAGGTGTATGTGTGTGATAGCCTTATCATGATGACGGTTTGGAGGGAGTACTAACAACAAATCAGAATGGGTGGTAGGATGGACCTGCCCCAGCCTATCAACGTAGAACAAACAGTGTAGGCGAATCATGATGAAGGCGGTGGGAGGACTATAAAGAATCACTAGAGTGAAGCAGATCCCTTTCTCAAACTTTTTTTTTTTCATATGAGTTTTTCCTTGCTGATCCAGGATGGGTTTGTTACACAGTTATTGAGAAACTAGAAGGACTGTGGTGATGAGCCAGGACACTTTTAATATTCTACAACATGTAGTGGTCTATAGTCTTTATGTGTTTTAACTGCTGATTCTCCGATCTGTGTTGGTGATTTTCAGTAGTTTTTGGTAAGTCCTCTGAGATGACTAAAGTTGTGATTTAGGGCTATACAAGACTAAATTGTATTGTATTGTATAGGTGTTTTTTTATTTTTTCTGTAACAAGAGGTACTGCATCCAAACTCTGAAAGAGCGACACTTAGGTGTGTGTGTGTGTGTATGTGTGATAACCTTATCATGTGGCCCAGAGTGTTGCACTAAAACAATAGGGGGATAGTTGTTATTTTCCAACTGGTACAACAGTATGAACGATCCGTGTGAAACTCACCTGATGACAAAGGTTCCGTGGAGCAAAAACACATATATTTTTAGTCGCGTTTATCAATCGTAATTAATGCGTTATAATCCTAACCCTATTCATAAGGTAGTAGTCTCTATATCAATTTAATTGTCCAATACAATAAAAATAAGAACCCTATATACATATATGTACACAGTTTGAAACAGAGTAGGTAGATGTGAAACTAGGGTCCTTGGTACAGGTTTTCTTTTACGCGAGATCAAATGATTTAAAGGCGTACATCTCTCAGATATACAATTGACACTTGTTACCATAAATAGTCATCTTAAAGACTGATTAAACAACCATATTACATACCTTAAACATTATGTACAACATTTTACCTAAACACAAACCAGTAATTAAACATTATGTACAACATTTTACCAAAACACAAACCATTAATTAAAATCCAGATTTTCTTATTATGTAACACTCTCATATTTATTGAGTATAGTAGTTTTGTTGTTTCTTAAAAACCATGATTTTTATTTTGACTCTTTAATGTCTTTGTTAAGTTGATTCCTTCCAGAGACCATTCTTCCCATGACTTTAGTTCTGAATCTAGTTTTTATTAAAGATATCAGTTACAGATTGTATCGACTTTGTCTTTTTTTCCAAAGTTCTCGTAGATGTTTTCTGCTAATGTTTTGCAATTTACCTTATACAATGTAGGATAAATAGTATAATCCACTATAACATATAATTTTAACACCAAGGACTCAAAAACAGGATTTGATGAATCTCGATATATTTTCCTTCTGGTCTTTTTTTAACTATAGGCTGTGTTAAACGTTGTCTCCAAATGTTGACAACATAGGTGAGGTCGGTATAATCATTCTAGTATCTAAGGTCAGTAATGCTGAGCGGTGTTTTCGTAGATGTTTTCTGCTAATGTGTTGCAATTACCTTATACAATGTATGATAAATAGTATAAGCCACTATAACATACAATTTTAACACCAAGCACTCAAAAACAGGATTTGATGAATCTCGATATATTTTCCTTCTGGTCTTTTTATGTAAAATAACTATAGGTAGTGTGTGTGTGTTTTAAACGGTGTCTCCAAATGTTGACAACATAGGTGAGGTCGGTATAATCATTGTATTATCTAAGGTCAGTAATGCTGAGTGGTTTGGAAAGTGTAAAACACCAAGTGATTTTGGCCGTCTAGTCTTATCGATACACTATTTAATATTTTTTCTTTAGCATTGAATATCATGTAATCGTTGTTTCTTTGTTTAGAGCAAAGTCATTTGAACCAACCAGATTTTTATTATGACAAGTTCTTTGTTTATTACTTTTGATAACTCTCCAACATTTTTCCACAACAAAATAATGCTGAGGCACCAGCAAATAAGATTATTTGTAATATAGTTGTCATGTTTACAAGTTTAAAGACATAATTCAATCATTTATAAGTTTAAAAATGCAACACGTTCTTAAATGCTATGTAATAAGTTACATTTAAAAAACAA